AGAAAAAGTTATGATTTTTTTCGAGATTCCAGAAAAGGGGGCTTGTGTGGTTAATTCTTGCCCGTCAAAATATTATAAGATATACACATTATTAAGTCCCATTAGAGGAACACATCATGCATCGAAAAAAAACTCCTATCCACGTGTATTTTAAAAAAGTAAAAGTTATGATTTTTTTAGAAATTCCGAAATAGGGAGCCTGTGGGGTCAATTCTTGCCAGACAAAATATTGTGAGATATACACATCATCTATCAGCATCAGAAGAACACATTTATGGGAAAAAAATTCCATCTACGTGTATATTTTGAAAAAGTTATGTTTTTTCGAAATTCCAAAAAAGAGGGCTTGTGGGGTTTATTGTTCTCCGACAAAATATTGCGAGATATACAGATTATTATGGACCCTTAGAGGAATAAATTGATGGAAAATAGTTTCATCCACGAGCATATATTGGAGGTTATCGAGTACAAATTATTAATAAACGACCATTGGTGGTATGGCGCGCGCCTCGAATAATTGGCGAAGTCGCGTGGCTGGAACTCGTGGCTGGTTTCACACTGATCCAAATTGGGACCCGTATGAATAAAGAAAAAGATCAGTTTTTCGAAGACGAAAATCTTATTATTCTTCTTCATGCTTTCGAACCTCCATATGCTAAAAACTACCTCATTCCGACAGGATTCGCTTCATATTTTTCAATTTGTGCGCGCTTCTAAAAAATGGTTGATTCAAATTAACTGCAAATTTTGGAATGTTCAATATAGCTCTGGTAGGTAGGTAGAAAATTATGGTTAGAAATAAAAAACAGGAAATATTTTTTTTTGTTGAACTCGCCGTTTCCAAGTAAATAAGGATTTACCTTCCATGAATCGAATGTCCCTCGCTGTCGGCTTAAGCGGCGTTCACAACCAAACTTTTTACGTTTTGCTTTTTACGTTTCGTATTCTGATTGGTGAAGCAAAATTTGTAATTGAAATGACGCAAAAAGCTGAAAATATTCAGCTTTTTGCGTTGCGAGAAGCCATCGTCTGTGAAAATAGTAAAAATAGACGAATAATATGAAACATTCTGTAATAATATGGAAGTTATGATGTTTTCATGATTTTTTTCGTGAAGAATAGTAGATAGGTATACTGTTCAATTCATTATTTTCTTGTTGAAGATTGATTTTTCTCTTCAAGTATTGAATAAGGATCAATTTTTATCACCGCCAGTTCTATCAATTCAATATTATTAATTATCTGATCAATATTATTGTTATGATTATTTACTTCATTTCAGGATGAAAAACAAATAACAAAACCAAGGCAACTGAGCCATAAAAAGTCACGATTTTTTGTTGTTGTGAATGACATTTGCTCACGTTTAATTTCAGATTCTGCTTCACCAATCAGAATACGAAACGTAAAAAGCAAAACGTAAAAAGTTTGGTTGTGAACCCCGCTTTACTCATACTCAAAAGTTTATATCATATATCTAGGACCAAAACTATACAATGCAATGCCCACCTCACTGAAACTGATAACGAAAAAATCAAAATTCAAACTAGAACTGAAAAGAGTTTTGAAAAACAATTACGAAATGCTGCAATTGATTCTGGACAAATGAACACGTTTTGATAGCTCTCTACAAATATCGTATCTCTGTATTCCTCCTTTTTTTTTCTTTGCTTTCTTTCTCTATATCTCATCATTCTCTCTCTGTCTCATTTGACATAAACAAAACTTATATAATATGCAATGATATATTTTTAGGATTAGGATGACTGATATTTTTTGCAGGCTACAATACAAGCTAGCTTAGGTAGCAGCAATTTTCTTTAGTTTTTGCTATAAATCATATGAATTTTGTGACTAGTAATTTAGTAATATGTCTGTTTATTGTTCTAAAATTGTTCTTATCCATCATTCGGTTGCCCCCTTACGAGCAACCCTCAAAAGTCTCAAGAGACTTGTGCGAGCAAGGAATGAGGGGGGTCTTACCTTTTAACGTGTGATCCCAAACACTTTCTTAGGCCATCAGAAAAATGTCTGCGGTCGTGGTGGGAATCGAAACCCACCTACCGGCAATCCAATGTGTATAGAATGCTGACGCTTCAACCACGACGCTACGCTGGCCTATATCTGGATTGAATGAGTTACATTACATTACATACATCACAATACATTATACTATTCCATATTTCTCCTCTTAGGAATAACCCATATCAATTGAAAAAACCGACAGAGATATCAAAAACTGCCTGTTTTGGTTCCATGGCATTCCCGTTGTCCACAGCAGACATTTAAATGAAATGATTCAATGCTAAATAAGTGAACAATCGGAAAAATTACTTGATGAAACATAAGCAGATCTTTCATAGCCAATATATCTTATTGTACTGATTGGAAAACAATTTAAGAAAATACACCTTTGGCAAACCCAAATGACTCCGAAGCCGTTGTGTCAAAAATCTGTCAAAGTACCCCTGAAAAGCCATCCCTCAACTTCAATTATTCAAATTAGACCCTATAATTTTTTTTAGGGCAAACCTCAACGATGTATCCAACTTGATAGTATGACTGATGTCCAACTGACATAATAGGAGAGTGTATTATAATAATAATGTAGAAAACTGACCAAAAGACGCGTGCACGAACACAGTCAGAAAAAGAACATAGCTGAAGAAATTATATACATCTGATAGTTTTTCAGTACAGTGGGAGCCAAAAATGTACACAATGAATTATTCTTCATCACATACGTTTCCTTCAAAGTTTCTAATCGTGGTAGTATTACGTTTCTCAAAATATCAAATCTATGAAGTTATAGAATTGATTGCACTTCAGAAATTAAAAAAAAATGTATAGGATTGTATCTTGAATAATTGATGTTGGGGGTGGCTTGTCAGAGGTAGTTTGACAGAAGTTGAATTTGACATAATGGCTTCAAAGTCATATGGGTTTACAAAAATGTACTGAAGATATCGACTGTATCAAAAGATCCAGGACACCCGGTACTCATTTGTGAACAGAATAACAAAATGATCTTTCACTGGATTTGAAAATATACAGGGTGTTGAAAAAACTGATCCGGACTCTTTTTATGATTTTGTTTTTCGCATCTGTTCGTTCAATAAGGAGTACCAAACGATAGTACCTATATACAGATGATTTAATACAATTTTCATAATTTTTGAAGTTTTTCTTCACCACGTATATTAGTTGATGCGGCTGAATCAAACTCCTCTCATCATCATAGCAAATACGTTGAACCGGCCTCTGTATCAAAATTATAATATCTTTATTCAAGTGATAATATCGTTGACTCAATATAATAATACATCCAGTATTTTTTAACCAAAAGCAGTAATTGAAAATCGAAAGTTGATAATATCTTCTCGGGTGTCTTCAAATGAACCAAAAGTTGAAAACAGTGTGCCATCTGTAAGAAAATGCAATTTCTCTCATACATGTACCCTCATTTCTGATTCTATAGGTAGGTACCTATATACCAATTTTGGATAATTAATGATACAAAAAAAAATCCTTTAAATGCGAATAGTTGGGAGAATTAAAACGACAATTTTTAAAGCTTAGATGGGGATGTAACCCTCCCTCCCGCCCTCGTGTAGTCGCCGCCTATGCACCGCGATGAAATTTTAAAATGTTATGAAATTTTGATAAGTCACGCATACTTACCTATTTTTTATTGAGTTCATTGATTATATCAGGTTTTTTTCAATGATAAACACAAATAATCGGTATAAAGTACCGCAAAACCTTATTTAAGCTGTATGCAACCAACTGTACGGACCAAACGGACAACTGTATAATCTCTGGGACAACTCACTTATGTTTACGTACAGTGTTGCAAGAACTTTTTCTGCAATTGTAAGAAATTGTAGTAAGTAAAGAGAAAAAGACTCAAAAAGTGACAAAAATGAAAAATTACAAAAGACAAAAAAGAATATGATGTGATCACGAATGATTCCAATGCTCGACACTCTATGTTCGTGATTTCATTTTGTACCACAATTCGGCTCATTTTGGAAATGTAGTACCACAATCTGTGGTACCACCAAATATCTACTACTAATATATGAATCATCGCTGTCCTCAAAGCGGGACCAACTTCTGTCTCTATAGGTAACGAAATCGACTAATAGGCGTTGATGCCGACGAAGGGAAAAAATAATACGACAATATGGCTACTTATTTCAAATTCTCCATACTTCACTTTCCGTCCTTATGATTCAGTAAGTAGGTACCTCTCATTTTGGTCCCATTTTTGTTGAGATATCATATAGGCAATGAGCCATATATAGAAATAGTACATATATGGGTACCACCGTCTTTTTTCACGAAAAAGTACCACATGTGGTGCAATGTACCACTTCTGGCAACGCTGTTTACGTAATATGTATACCCGGCGTCGTATACCATAAACAAACTGTAGTTTATGAAAAGATGTCGCATATAGATGGTGTCAGCACTACCAAAACGATAGCCGCACTATTGCTGAATTCTGAATCACCTGAATGGTGGTAGGTGGATTCCTGATCCCTGGATCATCTCTGGATCACAAGTTCTTCGCCAATAGTTATTCTCGTTTTCCCTAATTCCCTAGTCGGCGGCCTCACATATCCAGTCAATTCAGAATTGAGTGACTGTGGCTGACTGACTGAGTCATCAGCGAAGTCAACAGAGTCAACCAAAGTCAACAGTCCAGTCACTTTGCGCTGTGCAGTGTGCGTCAATGGTTTTGTTCTCGTTCGAAGAATAAACAGTCCGGAACCATCGGAAGCATTCGCAGTTCCACGGAACATGAAAGATGCCAACAGTTCTGTGAAATTGCGCATGCTCCTGATGGTTTCTATATTTGGAACGAGAACAAGAACAAAGTAACAAACAACAAACCTATCATGACTCAACCTCAACCTTGGCAGAAGGTTATTGAAATGGAAATTATGAAAGTTATCATTATCAGATCCGCGACCGCGATTCACGTAAAGCAACTTGTATGTGGGCTTGTTAACTCACAATTCTTCATTACTTCATAACCCAGCTTACCAAAACAAGAATAAAAATGTCTACAAACTCCCTTAAGTCCCATATTGGTACTGTTTCAGAACTATAGATCATTCTGTTTATTCATATAATTTTTGTATAATTTCAGATGCAGAATTATGCCTTGCATTGTACAGAAAATCCTTGAAATCCAAGGAGATGGAACATGATGGGACTCATTTCGATGGACAGTACCCTCACCTATTTGTAATAATGGGAGCCTCGGTAAAATAATAGGAATGTGTCTCCTGTGAGTTCTGAAGTTTTCAATTTTAGGGTGATTTGGCACAAAAAAAAATATACCCCACTTTGTGGTGGCTTTTCCGAGATAATTTGCTTCCCTCTGAAACAGTGTTTTATGGCTATGCTAGAAGTAAAATGACCGTAGATCAACTGAAGAAAAAATGTGAATCATACATGAATGTTAAACCTGCTGAAAAAGAGCGTTATGAAGAATTTTGGACCTTAAATCATTACATGTCTGGCCAGTATGATTCAAGAACCGATTTCGAACATTTGAATCAGGAACTTTCAAAATTTGAGAGAGGACCTACTGCGAATCGATTATTTTATTTGGCTCTGCCACCCACTGTTTATGAGAATGTGACAGTTCATATCAGAAATGCTTGTATGGGTACCAAGTAAGTGAAATAAAATGATGCAAAAATGACTACTTGTCATTGTGACTAGGTAATGATCCATCATCTACTGAAAGATATAGATTGTGATTATAAACTTCAGTTTAGTTTTCATTGATTTTCCTGAGAGTTCTCCTGTATATGCAAGAACAGGTTGCCTTAGTCACAAGTGTGAGAATAAATTTGTGTCAATATTAGAGGGAAAGATCAGAAAGTGAAATAGCTTTCTGTTGTCTTGAAAGATTTCATTAAAACATTTTGTCAAGTATCTGTTTTGAGTGTTTTGACATCTATCATCTATTATACATTTTCAGCTCCATTGTCATTGTCTAAAATTTCATTTTATTTTCCAATTGTATTGATCAAAATTTCTAGAGCAGGCTTGTTTGGAGAGGGTTATGGAGTTCTTCAAAATGAATACAAGATCCTTTCATCAGCCTCTATCCTCTTAATATATATATTTTTAAAGATTGAATTACTGTCAAGGCATAGGTTAAAGACTGTTTGTTTGTGCTTGCTCTACCTGCTGAACTTGATTTTTTTCTATGACTTTAAATCATACCACCATGAACAGAGACAACTATGGGAAAAAATCAACTTCAACAAGTGTAGCAATACAAAGGAACAGGCCTTTATTGCCAATGATGAATAAATCTACATAGGTACATACACTGTTCTATCTGACATTAAAAATTGGAAAATGTTTATGGAGGGCATAAATAATATAGGATTCAGCTACTGATTTATACTGGAACAAAATTATGGATATTATGAATATTGAATTGAATACCTACTAAAAATTATTCATTTTTGCAAATGTCTCCCCATAAATGCATGGAATGTATGATTATTTCTGCTCCAGTTGCACAACCCCTCCACTTATATCTTTGTCATAAGAGGTATAATAAGTCAAATGGAAGGGTTTCATCTATATTTTACAATATACCTAGAGCTATGCAATTAACAGGTCAAATGAAGTTTGGTCAATTGACTGTCATTTCTTGAAGAGCTGATGATACTTTTCCAGGTAACTTCATTATGAAACAAAGATACAGGGTGTTTCAGAATTCACAACAAAAGTTTAAAAATTGTTCACTCTAAAAACGTGTCTTTAAATACTCCTGAAGTACTTTCCTCTATCCCTAAAATGAGATTTACATCGCACCTGATGAGTAGAGTAGAGTTTATTTCCATCAATTTACATGTGTTTCTGACTGGTTAATATTACAAGAGATTCAACATTGATATTAAATCTTTAAATTAAGGAACATTCAGACTTATGTATGAAAATTGATCAATTTACAGCTGAAGACGACGAACAAAATATACAGGGTGATTCATTGGGAAATGAACATACAATAAGGGTAGATAGAGGGCACCTAGGTGCTTCTGAATAATCCATATTTCATGGATCTATCATTCTTTATAACGAAGATACAGGGTGATTGATTCATTTTCCCAATTTTTTCCATTAATCCTAACTTATGAACCACCCTATACATTTTTTGATTTTTGGTTTGTATGTTCTTTGTGGTGTCGAAAGAAGTCTTATTCTATGGCTGGCATTGAAAAAATAAATGAGTAGGTTTGAAGTCGAAACAACACCCTGTATATCAACATTTTAAAATCTCATTTACAAATTCAGAAAGAGCAGGAATAAATAAGTAGATTGTAGATTGTAGATGGGTCATATAGGCTGGGAGACCTCTCGATCACTGTGACCTAGAAGATCTATTGTGATTAAAAAATAAGTGAGATGAATGTATTTGGTGTTCCCGCATACAATTTTTTCAGGTTTTGACTGGAGTTAAATCTAGAGGTTTCAATAATGAGGTGGCAAAAAAGTAATTTGTTGTCCCCAAATGTCTATTTCTTATTCTCCTAACTATAAAGAACATTATGATAACATTTGTTTATCGCACTACATTTGAAACAACACTTATGAAAATGAAGAACAATGCCCATTCCGGAAGAATCAAAACTTTGTTTTAAACAAAAATAACGTTACCTCAAATCTACATTTTGAAGGTTGAACAACCATGATGAGAACTCGACCTCCCTGTCGATTGATCGACGGATGACCCGTTAGCTCAATTGGCAGATCGTTGGGCATGTAACCCAGGGGTTATTCTCTATCGAAATAAATGAAAATATACCAGGTGTCCCATTTGAAATAAGATTATATATTTATATTTCCGGTCGAACCGGAAGTGACAGAGAACAATTGAATACGTCAAATACGCATATTCATGTAATATTTTCACACACCAGATTTCATTTGTTCATCTTTATAAACAAAAAAGTTATTGGGGTGAGCCACTTTTGAGAAACACCCGGTATAGCTATTGAGTGATTCAGACATAAACAATGATATATTGTGCTGCTGCTGATATATCATGGCATCCCATTTAAAAAAATGCCCTCGACTCTAGATATTTTAGATGCGTCAAGTAAATGCGGCAATAATTTCTAGTTATTTTCTTTTATAGACTTTTAAATTAAGTTTCTAGCAATCATAGGGCAAGAGCAATTGGACTGTGAAGCAATGTTGCTCCTCCTGTATTATATTTGTCTGTCTAGAAGGTATATAGGTACATATGTGAAAGTATAAAAAATCACACAATGAAAAATATAACACAATCGACATTGAACATTTTCAAAAAATACTAGAGCCAAATATTGAATCAGTGTGCACCCAATAATTTAGAATTCCATCTGGTGTACTAATTGTGACTACAAGAATGTCAATAACTATCTATATAGGTACTCTAATACATATTAGAAAAACATGACCTAATATAGTTAGTTGCTGGCAACCTGACAAGCATAAACGATCAGTATTAAATTCCTTATAGTACCTGTTACTGAATTGAGACGTTTTGTGCAATAGTAGCTCAAGCGACTCTCTGTTCATTTTGAGAAAAAGGCAATATTTGAAGGTTACAATCATTCATTCGTTCATTAATGTATAGATCAAATTATCTTTGATAATGGCGTCTTTATGTGGCAACTTAATCAAACCACTACGGGTGAATAGTTGTATCAATCAAATACTGAATTGCCAGTGGAATAGTTGAATCGCAGGACAAATGAAAAACAACATATTAACAACAATGAATACACGTCACTTTGATAATGAGAGTATTCTGAATTTAATTGAAAAAAGAACTAGCAATCCGAAGCTTCCTCGAAGTATCAAGAACGACAAGAAATATAATGAGGCAAATAACAGGTTGTCTGTTGATACCTATTTTTATTTTATTTTGAAAAAATATACATAAAGAAGTATTTTTTTAGAGGATGGACGCGTGTTATTATCGAAAAACCTTTTGGACGCGACTTGGAGTCATCAGAAAAACTGTCCAGCCATTTGGCCTCATTGTTTAAGGAATCTGAAATTTATCGAATTGACCACTATCTGGGCAAAGAAATGGTTCAGAACCTGATGACGCTCCGGTTCGGAAACAGAATTTTTAATCCCACATGGAACAGGGACAATATCGCATCGATACAGATCAGTTTCAAGGAACCGTTCGGGACTCAGGGCAGAGGAGGGTATTTTGACGAGTTTGGAATTATAAGGGATATTATGCAAAACCATCTTCTGCAAATTCTGACTCTGGTTGCGATGGAGAAACCAGCTTCATGTCAGCCTGATGATATTAGAAATGAAAAGGTAGGTAAGCAAATTTGACTAGTCATAATATTGAGTGGAAATAGAAGTCAGTTCAGAGATTATTTTCGAATAGGAATTCTTCATTGATCATAGTAATTGTTGGCCACAAGTTGCGGTCATTTGTTTTTTGTGGGTTACTGGCTCACTGGAGAGGACTTTGCATCTCAATCAATGAACAGAAATCAAATGAAGAAGAAATGTTGGGGAATCCGATATCTAATTAAGAATTTAGAGTTTCCAATAGGTTCTTTCATATGAGGTAATAATATTATTTTGGCTCATTTTATCAGCCATATCATTTACGACATGACCTTTCCGGGCACACTGTATAATATACCTCGGCGCCCTGGAAGTGGTTCGGAATACATTTTAGGCTGTAAGTCCTGCTCTTTCTAACCCCGTACATGTTTCCACTTCTGGGGAGTTGGTTCCCAACTTCTAAGTAGCGATTTAAAAAAAAGTAATACTCCCCATTTTAAAAATCTTTACATCTATCACTCAAATACTCAAACCAGAATGTGTCCTTTATAAATCTTTAATTAATCTGTTAACAATTATTCAAGAGATTTTGTTGTGAAAATATGACATTTTTGTCAATTTCAATCATTCTTGAAGCATATCTCAATGATTTTTGCCATGATGTCATAAAATTATTGATAATAATAAAATTGATTGTCACTAGCAAGTATTCTGAATGGTTAGAACCAGTCATTTGATATTTTCGTTCATTTCAATATATTTATTGGCACTAGGATTATGAAACAATTATGGAGGGACTCTTTATACCGAGTTCAATAATAGTTTGGAGTGGCCAATACTCCAACAGGGTGTAGGTAAATGTTTTCTTCAAAAAGTTCAATACATTGAAGAAATTTAACTCTGTAACAATCCTCGTCAAATAAAAACACGAAATATACAATTGCACTAATATGCGAGGACACTCATTTCTAGAAAAAATACTATGACATTCATCACAGTGATGATATTTTTAAATTTTTTATTCCTTCTAGTTTTCCCAAAACAAATTCTGAAAGAAATACTCCCAACGTTTATTGGTACCGATAATTTACTGTGATGAACAGTGTTGCCGTCTCAATTGATTCAACTCAATTACCTAATTCATTCATCAGTCTTCGCTTTAGAAATTTAATTGTAACATATTATGTGTAAAATTGCTCAATTAATTATAATAAACCTGGTAATAAACGTATAATGACGGAGGCCGTTAATAAAACGTTCAAAATTTATGTGAACACCCTTTGAGTACATATTTTATCCAATAGCTATCTTAGTGAATATTGGTCTTACAGAAACGTTCAAATGGGCAAAAATGTATTATGTTTTATGGGCATTCAGAATCTTGTACTAGGAAATGCAAAACAGCATCGTATACCTTAAAATTTCACTCAAACTAGTATTTTTTAAATGGAACACCCTGTATTTTTTTCCTAAACGGTAGAGCTTCTTCTGATTTCAAATATATATACTTTATTCTGTCAATTTTTGAAAAATGTAGATTTTTTGGTATAGAGTGTGGTGTTGAACGCCAGACGACAATGCTGTGATTTATGGCGTTCTACAGCTGCCTTAGAACCTATATTTCTCGAAAACTGATAAAAGATAACCTCAATAAAGTATAAATATATATATGAAATCAGATGAAAGAGCTCTACCGATTAGGAAAATAAAATATGGGGTGATCAATTTAAAGAATACCGTATGTAAAATCTTTAGGTTTACAAGGCTTTTTTTCATTTTTTAGTACTAGATTCTGAGGGCCCATAAAAATACTTGATTTTAACCCATTCGAACGTTTCTGTAAGATCAATATTAACGCTATTGAGTAAAATATTAACAATCACCCTGTACATAGATGGAAATGAATTAATAAGCATTATGTATGCTGTTTGAATTTGAATAAAGCCCTTTTTTGAACTGATTAATAATCTGACTTGATAAACAAATATCTTATTGTGTGGGTTTTTCTTCTGTCTGATATATATTCATCATACTGAGTCATTCATATAACCTTTGTGGAATATACAAATACAGATTCCCAGTTCTGTAAATATATTCAGAAAAGTATTCGCCTACCCATCATTTCATTGAATATTCATAAAAATGTATCATCCATACATCATCTAGTAGATTGTCATCTAACTTAACTTCCAGTATTCCAAGGTTACCAAACATTTGAAAATTAATGAAGCGAAAAATTTACAAAGCTGAATAAAATTAACATAAAATAGATTGTTATCTCTATTCGAAACATAATGAAGTATTTGTGAATGCACGAAAATGAATAAGGAATAAAAAAAAATCGACGTTAATTCTCTCAAAAAAAGTAATGTTTTATTTCACCATATCGAAAACAATGGATTTGAATAACATTTGGTAGGTAGGTAGGTATAGTCGATCCAAAGTCAGTTGGAACACCTCGAAAAAACATAAAGGTACCCAACGCGGTTTCGCTTCGTTTGAAGTTAGTTTGAATTCCGTGTAAGTGGCAGACATTCAAGGATTTGGTTTTTTCAATCCATGCCATGTATGATGAACATCAATTCATTGTAAAACTGTCAAACACTCCAACTGACTTTGTATAGACTATACCTACGTTCAGATATAAATCACAAAAATGACCGATGCCTGGTTTAACCAGAAATAACATTTACTTTGATTGTTGAACGAAATCAAAACGACAGTGTTGCCAGATGATTTTTTCATCAAAATATTGTTTACTACATAATGTGACCAAAGGCTAAGAGCAAACATAAATGAAGATAATGTGCATGATGTATATCGATGTGTTGGTGCTTGATTACATTTTCAAATCATAGGATAGCCCTTAGTAGGGGTCGTAGAGAAATTTGATTTTTTCGTGAAATAGAACATTCCGCATATTTCATTCCTTCATGTTAGATTAATACTTATACACAATGTTTTTTTTATCTCCTCCTCGCCGTGGGGATCTCGTGAGGTAACAGAAACAGGGTCGGTTGATAAAGAAAAGGAAAACGTCGAAACACGTTGGTGGATAAGAAAAGAAAAATGTCGAGCAATTGTTTCATTTTCATATTATGGTGGAATTTGTTTCCTTCAATTGTAACTATTCTTTCTGGGGAGATAATGAACTGAATTTTGGTTCAAAACAGTTCCTGTTCAAATCATGCTCGGATAAATCACTCAACCTCATTCTATTCGTCCCACTGGATCCAATTTATTTTTAGGTAAAAGTATTAAAAAGTATCCAGGAACTTAAATTGAGCGACATCGTAGTAGGGCAATACGTTGGAAACCCTGAAGGAGAAGGTGATGCCAAACTTGGTTACCTCGATGATCCCACTGTCCCTAAAGGTTCAGTCACCCCCACTTATGCCCTAGCTGTACTGCATATAAACAACGAGAGATGGGATGGAGTACCGTTCATTCTCAAATGCGGAAAAGGTGAGTTCAGATCGAGACACATACGTGATGATATTTGACATAGATATACCTATACTAGAAAATTAGCAATTAGTTACCTCAAATATCGCAATTTGAGATTCAAATAGAACTTTCCTCTTTCATTTTTTATTTTCATTATTTTGAAAATCGTTGGTGTAGCTGCAAGACAAACCGACTGATTCATAGTGTAAATACCCAATGGTGTCAGCAGACGAAATAATCTACATATAATTTTTCAGACATCCTGTGAACAATTTTTCATTTGTGAGTTGTATTTTTCAATTTCCAGCACTGAATGAGCGGAAGGCGGAGGTAAGAATTCAGTTCAGAGATGTTCCTGGAGATATTTTCGATGGCAAACCAAAGAGGAATGAACTTGTCATTCGTGTCCAGCCAGGTGAAGCTCTCTACGTCAAACTGATGGTTAAAACCCCAGGAATGGCTTTTGACATGGAAGAAACGGAGTTGGATCTTACATATGGAAGCAGATATGAGGTAACTCTAATCCCTACCCTGTACCTATGTCAAATATACATAAACATAAACGAAATCTTGCAAATTCTTACCACTTGATAGTGGAGGAATTTGCAGATAACATAATATTTAGTTTATTGTATTAGTGTGCGAAAATAGTTATTTATACACCAAGGTAGTAAAGAATAACATTATTACCAAGATTATATTCCGAGGCTTTAGCCGAGGGGTACAAGGTCCCGTGGAAATAATATCTATCTTCACCACTAGCAATATATTTCAATCATCATAGTTCTGTGAAACTAAAATGTGGACCAATGTCACTATGAAAGCACCTCTTTTCAATTCTGATTACAATCTAGTCATCATGACACCATATGACAAGTTGTTATTCTGATCGTTATTGATAAATACCTACTAGATTCGAGTGCCATTCCTGTGAATATCGCATGAGAACAGTGAATTCGGGTTGATTATAACAGAGGTGGCTATGTCATTATTGAATAGTGGTTAATAATATGACGAAAACTACCTTGGTAGTAAAACACACTCTACGCCTTCAAAGGAAGTAAATAATGGTAGGTTCTATAGCTAGTGGTGGAAAATAGATATTTATGTACCATGAACGAAAAACTGTCTATTATAGTCGAGCCTGCAAATTGATAGCCGAAGTTTGCAAGCAGGCGAGACAATGGACAGTTTTTCGCCGAGGTGCATCTTAAATTTTTTCGTCGACCTCGAAAACTTAGGCTGTGTCAAGTAATCCGTCTGACTACAGTGGTATTACCAGAATTACAATGGCTGACTCGACTTCCATCCAGAAGTTAACGTGGTAACTGTGTGGGCAGGTTTGAAACGTGACCGATATTCCCAAACAGCTGGTTGGTCAGACTACAAACTGAACGTATGTGCCCGGTCAAACCACAGACTTGACACAGCCTTATTTACACATGTAATATCCATTGGATTTCATAAATAATTAATTTGACAACAGCAAATGATAGATACTCTCAACTCAATTGCCGCTCTCGCATTGTGCCGAATATAGTGACTACAGCGGACGAAAAGTACTTGCCTTCAAAACTAGTCGATTTTTCATCCGGAAATTAGTACGTAAAATGTATTTTTTGTAGAAGCCACGAAAATAGTTTTTTATGTAGGAAGGACGAAAAGCTGTCTATTACTACCGAGCTTGCAAATTGATAGCCGAGGCTAGCAATCAGGCGAGAAAATAGACAGTTTTTCACAGAAGTAGTGCATGTTACAGTTTCTTATCGACTTCAAAGTACCTTTTTGACAGTTATTGTCAAATGTCAACTCAATCGCCGCTCTCGCACCGTACCGTATTATATTGACCACAGGGGACGCATGGTTGCCATCTTTGCGACGTTTCAAAATAGTTATAGCGGTTTTTATGTAGATATTCTGATCACATGAATTTGTAACGACAGATACGAATTCACATTGAAACATTCGAGACGAGATAAGCAGAGAATAATATGACAGATGACAGGTTTTGTTATCATCATCTGTGCCACTCCTTCCACATCAATCGTATAATATTTTGTCTATTCGATATGGTTTAGAAAACTAAAATGCTTGTTGTGAAAGCTTTTATTTTTCCTACATTAGCGATGAGACCAATGTGACTTGATGACTAATAACAATGAAGTCGCATATCTGAATGATGTTGAACAGCTCGAAATATGAGTTATCATGGTATGACAGGTTAATTAACGTATGGTTTGACCAAAGAAATCCTTCAAATACGTCCGAGGAATATATTTTGTGATTCACTAGCTATAGCTATATTACCGAATGAAATGATATAGGAAAATTTATATTATTTTTTTTATGAAGGAAGAGCAATTGTCCAATTCATCTCCATTATATTAAATGTCGTGGAGATGTCTTGGAGAATTGCTCTTCCTTCATAAAAAAAATAATATAAATTTTCCTATATCATTTCATTCGGTAATATAGCTATAGCTAGTGAATCACAAAATATATTCCTCGGACGTATTTGAAGGATTTATTTGGTTACCACCACTCCACTTGGAGCACTATGGACCTCTACACACGTTTTTTTATGTTTTTTTTTTATTCTGAATAAAAAAGAGTTCCACGATTTTTTATCTGATGTAAAAACCAGCCTGGAAATGACGAGAGACGATCAAAAATGTCGCTAAATCACGGAAAATAGTCGCTAAATTTTCAAAAATTTTGCCTGCGGCTAGCTTTTTGGTCGCTTCGCTCGCTGGCGGTTTCTAGTGGTGTTTTTCGTAACTTTTTGCGACATTTCATGTTTAGGAGCTGGCAACACTGAGCGGACGAAAAGACTTTGCGGACGAAGTGTCTGACAAAATATACTTGCCTTCAAAAATAGTCCATTTTTCATACGGAAATCGCGGAAACAATGCTAGAGAGAATATTTCATCTTATGTAGGGTGGTAACTTATAAACTGGAATCTCCTGTATCCTATACTAATTGGCCGATTTCGCCTATAAATTGTGGGATAATTGAACAGGATGGATAATAATGATTTTCTATCTAAATGGTTTATATGTTCAATATAGCACAGGTCTAGGAGATTCTTTCATAAAATGGCCAACTCTCAATCTATTGATTCCAGTTACTATTACAACATTACCAAATACGATTTTTTTTTATTTTCAAGCACATCAAACTACCTGATGCATACGAACGACTAATCCTGGATGTTTTTTGCGGTTCCCAAATGCATTTCGTACGCTCGGATGAATTGAGGGAAGCATGGAGAATATTCACTAAAATTTTGCATCAAATCGAAAATGAAAAGATCAAGCCAATACCATACATGTAAGTATTGCAAGTCTTAATTCTGTCATCGGGCCGTATCTTCTATGTCTTACCACCGTGGGCATCTCATTAACGGTATATACCAGGTGACACAGTATCGGGCCAGCCCTGTAACTTCTACATTCATTAACGGATTTTTCGGAAATTTGGTACAGCAACCATTTCGTATTTGATCACATTACAATCCAATATGACAGACCTCCGGTTTTTCAGGAAGTACCAGCAACTTAGTTTTTTCAAATTGTACACCCTGTATATTTTTACATATTCAAGTTCTACAGGTCGTTTTTTTATTTAACCTCGTGGATAAATGAGATGTGGTCAAGGCTATTCACGATGAGTCCCACATACTACAGAAACATTTTTTTTTTCTGAAATAGTATATCGTTCAATAAGCATGGAATGAGAGATGAGATGATGTGAAATAATAGCACAATGGAGTCATTAAAATTGATGACATACAAAGTATCTCATCGATTTATCAAACAAAGTAAAACAAGAGCCGTAAAAAAATATTTTTTGTGTGACTTATCAGTGAATCATTTCAGTCACATCACATTTTGATCAATTTTTTTTTTCTTCAAATGGATCCCCTTTGGCCACCTACAAGTCTCTCTAGAACATACATTAAGGAAAAAAAAAACATAATTGTCATTTTTGTATCTCCTTGCAGTTTGAATAGTTTTTCAAGTAAGCTGTGGAAAACAACATTAATGAATCTTGTCATAAAGATTGCACTTGTTTTGACCTATTGAACTTGAATATGTAAAAATATTCAGGATGTTCCATTTAAACAAAAAGTAGCTGGCATTTCAAGAAAAACCGGAAGTCTGCCATATTGTATTGTAATGTCAGCAACTCCGAAATGGTTGCTCACATTACTGTACCATATTTAAGAAAAATCCGTTTACGAATGCAGAAGTAACAGGGGTGGCCCGATACCCTGTGTAACCCGGTATAGAATATACATCGAGATTAATAGGAGGTTGTCTATCTCTGTCATCTAAGGACCAGTGAATTGAAATAGAAATCTGAAATATCAGGAACCGTATTTGAAATGATATAAGAAAATGCGTATAAAATATGTTCTCTCTGTATCAAAATTCCTTTTCTTCAATTTTAAATTACGACGTTTCATTCTCCGGGACCATCCTCAACTCCATTGTTTCAGCCTTGGTCTTCATGGGCAAAACCATAGGGAAAAAATAAGAAGATAAAAATTGAAACAGAGCAAATCAAAGTAAATATCAAAAAATGGCACTACCATAAAGAAAAAGGTTCCTGATATTTCAGATTATTAAGACACACTTTCTTTTGGAACGCGAAAAACATTATGCATATAAGACAACAGCACTTCATGTCATATAACCTGGCACCTAGCATTTTGAGACTGAATCCCATATTGCTCAAGTATGGAATAAAATGATAATCCTGTTATAGTGAGGGTTTGCAAACAGAACATCAGACAAATCAATTTTGTATTTTGAAAACCCATTTTCTGACATTCATTGTATTTGTATTAATCATAACTTTTGTCAGTTAGGTATTTGAAATTTATATTCCAGTGGGTGGTCAACTAAGAACACTTTTTTAGGCTCTAATTTCCAGAATAACTACTCGGAATTTTTTCCATAAAAAATAATGAAGAATTTTCAAGTGGAATTACCGGAAACATACCTGTACAGTGCATTCCATTTTGGTTGAGGCTTCTAGGTTTCTCGGTTGTTATCGAAGATAGAGTCTTGCGATTTTTACGTTCCTGTTCTACTTTTTTTGTCAAACTCAAGATGCCTAATCAGATTTTGCATCCGTTAATAAGATACAGGTTGATTTTGAACATTCATATTCATATATTTGACAACTTCTCTATATACGAATTTACAGAAATTTCTGCGCATAATCCAGTGGCGTACTTAATTCTTTTGTGGGGTATGATTTTGGAGAATCTTTTATCTCTTGGAGCGCCCGAAGGTAAATTCCTATAATGTTTGTGGAACATCGTTCGTACCTAGAGAGAATAAAGCGAGAAGGTAGGTGTTGGAGTTTTTAGAACTTTTGGAGGTTATAAGTTCTTGGGAATGCTTCCATTGGCAAATAATTCCAAAGCTGGGTCGTTCTATGAACGAACGAGTTTTGGTAAAGTGTTGTTAGACATATTTCAAGGTTAACGACGAAAAGATGTACTGACCGGGCCTGTCGGACTGGTATTGCTAGTTATGGCATTATAGTAGAGATTCCTGAGGAACATTTTTCTGGAAGTATCTATCGAAAAGTGAAAAGTCGCCAACTTTTCTACGGCATTCTCATGAGATCAAAGAGTTAGTGAGTGTGGCATCAACCACCAGGCGAGTGGCTCTTCTCTGGATGGAATATAAGAGCATCAGCGTATGTTTGGATGCTGAACCCCATACATGAGAACAATATTCTAAAACATGAGAAGCTGTTCAGGTGTAAAGTAGATTTTCACACGGAACAATACTCAGAGTTTTTGTTAAGCAGCATTTGCGATGGCCCGAATATGATTTTCCCATGACAGAGTTACTGCATACTGAGTTTAGCCTTTCTAGAGAATATACAGGCTTGAGTTTTGGTGGCGCTGAATTCAACTAGGTTGTTGGTTCCCCAGGCTGTAATTTCCGCAATATCTTCATTAACAGCGTTGACCTGCCTTCCTCGTAAGTTATTAGTTTCCTGGGAAGAAACGAGAATTCTAGAAGAGAACGCAGTATGGAGAGTGCTGCAAAGCTGTTGATGGGGAAAGTGGTTGCTTCCAATAGATCGTTGATATGAAGTAGGAACGATGTTGATGCCAAAATTAATCCTTGTGGAACGCCGGAATTAATGGCAATGGTATCAGACGATACTCCGCCTACCACCACATAGAGCGATCTGCCTGAAAGAAAACTTGATGGAAGATGGCATAACTGAGGTGGTAATCCGTAAGTAGTAGTTTGTGGAGCAGTCCTTGGTACCAAACACGGTCGAATGTCTTTGATATATCTAACGTCACAGCTAGAGATTCCCATGTTTTTCTTTTGAAGCTTGCCATATGTGGGTGACGTAGGCAACTGAATCTCCAGTTGATCTTTCGTGGCGAAAACCATATTGTCTATCATTAATGATTCCTAAGCTTTCCAGATATTTGATGAGCTCAATGAGAATGGCTTTCTCCTCTATCGCTTTGGAGATGACTGATAACAGGGCAATTAGTCTACAGTTATTGGGCAGGCTTTTGTTTCCATTTTTGTGGATTGTGGGCTATTTTCCAGCAAGATGGAAATATACCCGACTCGTAGGAGATGGTAAATAGCTGGTAGAGAATCGGCGTCAATTCTCTGTGAGAATAATGGGTGGAATTCCATCAGGAGCATTGGACTTATTCGTTTTGAGACCCAGCAGAATGCGTCTGTTGGTGCGTTGACGAAAGACAATTTCGGGCATTCGACTTTCAACCGGTGGAATGTCTGGCGGCACTCTTCCCTGGGAATCCAAACTGGAGTTTGCTGCGAACATCTCTGCAAAAATGTTCGCTTTCTCTTGCGATGTTGCTAAAATGTGCCGTCCGTTTTGGATAGTGATGGGAATGAACTATTGGTGAAATTCCTTCTGACTGCTTTAGCGAGGAACCAAAACGAACGGGATACGACAGGAACATATATATTATATATTTTTAATGGAACACCATGTATTTTATTATCTCGTTGAATTCATAATGTAATGTTTTGCTGTTTATCAACATTCTTGAAATTCCTATGTATAGGGTGAAATAATTAGAAACGGCGTCATTCAGATGTTTTTGTTAGATTTTTGACATTTGGCTGGAGAATATAATTCCTTTGAACCGATATTTCCATGAATAAACCGGAAATGGACCTAGGACGTGAATTTTAAATGGAACCCTGTTGATATTTTTGTGCCATGCGATATAGCAAAAAAAAAACATTCCAATGACATATCACAAGTTAACATGTTTTCAAAATGGCTGCGTAGGAAACATTTTTTCTAAAATCAATATTGACAACGTCGTCAAGCAACCTGATGAAATAGCAAATAGCACTTATCAGTTTTTAGTGGATTTTTTGTGTTTTTGGAATTCTGCATTTATTTCAGCAATGGGTTAGGAACTGATAGATTGTCCACGTAATATAATTCCTTTCAGAATTCATGTTTCTTCCTGAGAGTTTTTTGCATATTAGATTTTATCATTGTTTTAGTTGAGGCAATCGATCAACTATTTTCGGAATCAACTGGTTTTAAAGTGATCTTCATGAACATAACTTGTTCAACAGGTATTTCTGATAATGGAATTAGTCCACAAAGAAAATCAATTCACAATTGTACTGACAATCCCGTACAAATATCTCATATCAAATAATTGTCCTGACACAACGTTATTTTGCATGTGGCTTACTACACTCGAATTCGCCCTTGCATAAACATTTTGGTAAAACTTAATTTCCATTATTCTCTGGGATATTCTTGTGTGGTTTCACTCCTAATCCTTGGTCCAAATGACAAAAGTTCAACATGAAAAACAACTGAGTGACGCCCTGTCCAATGATATCGTTGTCACCCGGTATACTAGGGAGTTTTATTAGTTAAACTATATAAAGGCGAATGTAGAATTAGGAACGTCCTTAATTGTTCAGTTCTAGAGGTACAGGGTGTTGATAAGAAATAAACATTGTTTTTTCGCAGTAAATCAATAAGGAATGCATTTTATGCAGTCAAATTCAAAGCTATGAATTCATTTTCAAATTGGTCAATTTTTGTGTCCAGCATTACTATATTAGAGGGGGTCGTGAGTGCCTCTTCCTCATATTATCGACGTCACTGATAAAATTAAAATTATTTCTCTTTCATCAAATTTCCTGTTCAATTTCGTTGAAGAATCACAACTGTATTGAAATATTCAATTTTCAATGAAATCCTGCATAGGTATTTTTCTTAAGCAGATTATTACACCAATATGTTATGGATGCTGAGTTGATTATGTACTTCTTAGTTCTCATTCTGTAGCTAAAATGGTATTTTTTACTAATTATCTACTCAATAGTAGATTATTTTGAATATTGGGTGAACTATCTTGAAACCTGTTTATTTCCGCTTAGTTGAAGGTCATGCGTTTTTTAACAAAATGGAACAGGAATTCGAAAAATTTAAAATAATCAGAATTTCATTAGTGATACAAATAAATATGGGGGGAGGAAGTTACCACAACCCCCTGTGACACATCACTAGATGAAATGACCAGTTTGGTCACAATTATAGGGTTTTGAAGATGAAATCATATATAAGATTGCAGCAGTTCTTGTTTGGGTTATTCCATACCATTCTGTGGCTCTAATACCAACTACTTGAGAATCATATATATTCCTACCTCATTCCTCATCAAATCACGAGGACTAATCACTTGTGAAGAGTTGTTGGTAGAATTTTGCAACACCCAGTAGATTGCTTGTTCTGTTATGAAAGTGTCATCCACCAATTATCAACAAACCTCCATCAAATCCGGTATCATGAAATTCGTAATGACAACCTCAAATTAAATTCATGTGTAAAGCTTTTGCAAACTCTCAGTGTAACAAACATCATACTGTATATAGGTTGTTTATCGAATCGTTACATATAGGAGTATTAAGAAAGGATGGCATTTGGCAACATTGCCAGCGTTTTTTTCACTGTAGGAGGCGGAGATGGAGACAAGCGAAGACGTGCGATAGCCGCCTGTCTCTTGCGATGTTGCCATCTAAATGCCTTATATGTAACGATTCGATAAACGACCTGTATACCAATATAAATATTGAAGAGGAAAGATAGCGCTAACTTATACAGTACTTGTTCCCAACAAATCTAGCTGCTACCTCTCAATTTATTTTAGATATGGGAGCAGAGGACCGAAAGAGGCTGACCAACTACTTGTCAACAATAACTTCACCTATACAGGGTCTTACAAGTGGAAACCAAAAATGTAATGAGTAATACTCCAATACCGCTGGAAACGAGCACATTCCTGTTTTTTATTTTGTATACAAATGAATACATAATATCAAGTTTGTGTTCTGGTTGTTTTGTTTTTCAAAGAATTATAGATTATTGGCAATAAAGTTATTCTAAATTCTGAATTTGTATTTATTTACAAACTATAGATAAAATAATTTAAAATAAATAACAAGAGAGATAAGAGTATGTTAGTTAATACTTTGTTGGTAATCTGCAAAAAAATTGAAAACGACATTTAGTCAATTGTTCAAGATGAGATTCATTGTTAATACATAACTGACATGCACTTCCAAGATTTAGTATCCCCATTATTTTTTCCTCCACCGTGAAGATGAGGACATTACAACACATCAAGCCATAACGGGTTAGATAGGCATCATAACAAAACGAAATTGGTAAGTTGTTAGTTAACGTTCCAACACCATAACACACTTCACAAAAAATAAAATTTACCATGGTCTGATGTCTGCCTGTAAAATGTGGTCGATGATTCTCTGAATAACGTCTGTACTCTTTGCAGTACCACCCAAATCTGGAAAATAAAAGCAAATGTAATATGGAAGTCTCAAAAACATTCATTGTAATTGTCTAAGTGACTCAATTTAAGAAAATTGTTCATGTAAATATAACGGAATATTCTCAGATATGTTATGCATATGAAAAAATGGATATGAAATACATTGAGAATTCGCATTCCCTTTGTGGTGAATATATCAACTCTTTATCGGTATATTCAACAGAAAACAACTACTTTCCTGGCTATTTGCCATGTCGAACATTGAATTATATCTGTTGAACATCCAAAAAGTGAACATGAAAATAAACAATCGTCTGAGATTGAGAATTGACATTCTCTTTCAAATCGGATAAATAATATGATTTATAATGATATAAAAATATGAATTACAACCAAAAGGCCATCGACCGAGGTCCTGTAGCTAGTAAATTTCAACATATATGGTTTTTCATTAATTTCATGTGCATTATAATGTGGATTGAAAAATAGATTGTTTAATTTGGATCAAAAGTGACACTTTGTTTGACAAGCGGATTTTGCATTTGCGAGGCAGAGCGTCCGGTGAGAATATTCTTCCTGTCAGGTGGAAAATATTAGGTAAGTGAGCATAGTCGGTGATTAGCCTCAGTAGCAGTAAAAGGTCGACGTCAACGAAAGAAGAAGAAGAATAATAATGACGATTATTAATTTTCTCTCCATACTCCACTGTGTTTGGCTCGGTAATCAAATGAAGGTAAACAATATCGTTGTGTGAGACAAAAAACTATTGCTGGCCGTGATTATTCAAAAACAAGTTATCCATCCCGAGAATAATGAATGAAATACAGATCAAGCAAGTATGTGAATCTTGAAGGCTTTCCTAATGAAAAAAATACTTAACTATAATATGGTGTATTCGTATCTACAGCATGGGTATGAAATTCCAAATCTGCCGAAATCGGAAACAAATCAGGTATGCGTCCCAACCCAAATAACCAACCGTAACAATGTTGTTTGTCCTAGGAGCTAATTCATTGAAAAATCAACAAACGAAGTATTCATATGTTGAAGAAGGTAGGAAGTGCAAGATTATCGGCCCATCTCTGTGGGAGCCCATGGTCGAGAGCGCAAGTTCGTAACTCCCTCCGAGACATGGGTTCGAGCCCCAGTAGAGTTAGTCCATGGATGTTTGTACACGATTGCTTTTCCTAACACCGCACAAGTTTCGACTTATGGGGCGTTGGTTGCAGTACTGGGACCAACGAGAAAATGCAATGAATTTGAAAAAAAAAATTTAACTGAAACCACACTAATACTAAAGGATACAATTATTCCGTATTAAGGCACAATTTTTTACTAATATCAGTGGTCTATTATTGATTTCTGTGTAACCAAAAATTAAGTAGATTATTCAGGGTGTTCCTAAATGTCATTTACACATTGAAGGTGTTGATTCCTCTTAGGACTGGAAGTTGGTATGTCTGGAATCACTTCGTTTTTGAGATACAGGCAGTCAAAATTGAAAATATGTATAGATTCTTATTTTTGTTCATTCTGTAGCTTTCATATGAAACAATTTAATATGTTATATTACTGAAATAACGCAAATATTTCATCATGGGTATACAGGGTGTCCCGAAAAGTTACCGACAAACTTTAAGGGGTGATAGAAGACATCAAAACAACAATTTTTGTTTGTTTACATATTTCCGCAAATGAGCTGTAGAGCAAAAAAACTAGCTGTAGAAACAATTTATTATGTTATATGACTGAAATAACGTAAATATTTCATCATGGGTATACAGGGTGTCGAAAAGATACCGAGAAACTGTAAGGGGCGTAGGGGACATCAAAACAACCATTTTTGTTTGTTAACATATTTCCGCAAATGAGCTGTTTGAGCTGTAGAGCAAAAAACAAACTAGCTGTAGATAAAAAAAAGTAATCAAAGAAATTTCTTACTCGGTATTTTTATTTAAGCTGGCCAAGAGCAGCAAAAACATTGTTTGTCATAAACATTTAGAAAATTCCTACCTCGGGATCGTCGTGAAATTTATTATTTGTGATTAGTTGCCGTTATAATATTAGTTTAGTGGTCTATAGATTTAAAATTCACATTTGAAATGGCAAATAATTTCTCATTTGACTTGTACGTCGAGTACGTCGGACTGGTATCGCTAGTGACGGAATGATAGCAGAGATTTCTGAGGAACATTTCCCGTGGAAGTAGGTATCTGTAGAAAAGTAAAAGGTCGCCGACTTTTTTACGGTGTTCTAATTAGGTCAAAGTATAATAAGTACCAATCAGTTTTTTTGCCCTACTTACAGCCAACATATATATGTTTATATGAAGTGAAGGGATCGTTTTGATGTCCTTATCACCATTTAAAGTTTGTCGGTATCTTTTCGGGACACCCTGTATACATAGTAATCTTAACGAAAGTCTTGAAATTTGGAGTCTCGTTTTTCCGTTTTTTCTCGAAAACGGTACGTCCTATAGTTTTAATAAGAGGTCCGGGGTCCTCATTCGTACAAAATTGAATGACCTTTCAGAGTATTGTACAAAATTTTCATATTCTCCTCAGTTGCCCAATTTACAATCAATAATATTCCTCTAACGGCGCCACTGGAAATCCGATTGACCAAATGTTATCACTTCATTTGTTATCACTTAAATTGCCCCCAGAGTGACACCAATTTATTGGAATATTTTTTTTTAGTCAGCGGTTGTCTTGTAATTGAATTAAACTTATTATTTTCAATCAACTTGGACATCCTCTAATTCGAGAACGAATCAAATCAGGACATATGTTTATAGATACATTTCGTCCTGAAATAAGAAAAGTAATAACATCCTTCAATAGGTACCTACATAACATTTAGGAATCCCTGTATATTAACAATTGACTCAGTTGATTGTGGACCACCTTATATTTTAACAAGCAGGAAGCTTCGATCTGAAATTTCAGCAAGATTGAAAGGTAAGTTGTGATTTTCAAAGGTTTTGTCTCTTGTCTCACTCTGATACATTGGTTTCAACACCCAATAATGAAACCTATTGGCAGACCTTAATTCATTTGTTTTATTCATTCATCTATTCATGCCCTCTAAACAGATTGAGTCGGATAACATGCTCTAGTGAGGTACAATTTAAATATAGTCAATTTGTAAACAAAAAGTAGAAACTATCCTCTCTCCAAAGTTTTGGAACATACGATCACATATTGTATAAAAAATACCATAAAATGAGTATAATTCAACTCTAAGTTGAATGAAGCAAATATTTTTTATACCTAGCTCTGTTTTAATGCAACCCTATGGCTTGTGACCCCTCATTGGAAAACTGAATGAAAGAGGAGTCCAGCGTACTGATCAAATTTTAGTTTGCAGTAGGTTTTGTGGTTGAATAAAATTGAAATGAGATTTCGAAGTTGAATTTATTTTCAACGTATTTTCAGAAAAATACCGATTTTGAGCGACACTTATTCAAGCCATTTTTATTAGTTTCCAACAGCTCGTTTCGAGCTGTAAATTCTACGGCTTAACAACTAAAATTATTTTTGCGGCAGTATAAAAACCCTGGCATACAATAGCAGATGTGGCAATAATTTGCTATGAACTATTCAACACACATTTTGAGCAATTGTTACGTTGAAAATAAATTGAATTTTAAAATTACATGTTGATTTTATGCAACCCTCAAACTAAAATCAGATTGATTCACTGGATTCCTCTCTCCATCAGCTTTCCTTCACATGCCATAGGGTTGCATTAAAAAAAACATGTTGAGGATGGTTTCAGCTACCCCTGAAGGGGTATATTCTCGATATTGCATGCAAAATTTAGGTGAATACATTAAAACCTTGACGTATGTCGGCAATTTTCAGATGAAAGATTCACCTCCCCGCTAGGGAATTTATTCCAGTTGAGTTACCACACTGTATACAGGGTTATCAATTAAAAATCGGCAGATGGTGTCGCTTGATTTGTCACTACAGGAAATATAGAAATACTTTTCGTAGATAGCCAATAGAAATTATATGTTTGCAAGCAATGCACTGACCGGCCCTTTTATTCAGGCTACAGGCATAATTGAAGGGCTCAGTTCAGAGGACCTAAGTCACATCAATATAATTATGGAAAATCAAGTTCACAACATTTATTTATAAGTCTGTTGCAAAATTCTTAGCAGTATGTTGAATTAACTTTATCCTAGATTGAGACATGGCATTCTAAATGAAATGTTTCTTGGTAAAAAAACTATTAGATCAACAAATCATCAAATATAAATGGAGTTGACATTATGATCAGTGTTGATAATGGTAAATAAAGCAAAGTGAAAAGTGCTTTGTACACGAGATTATCATTTATATTTTAAATAGGCAAACAGAGCTTCTAGATAAGATTGCTTGATTGAAGTGGATGGTATTATGATGATGATTTTCTGAGACACGTCTATCATTCAAGTGTTCAACTAGTGTTAATTTTATTGGTCATAATTGTACAAACTACTTCAAAAAGTGAGACTATTTCATTCAAGAAAAATCAAAGGTAAATAAAAATACACTACCTATATATACAAATAATTCTATATCTAACAAATCAAGCGCAAATTTCTTCCTTCAAGCCCAAACGTGAGTAAGAAATTGTGAGAAGAATCAGTCATCAAACGAAAATTTGTTTTCAGTTTTAATCTGCCCGTTTCAGTGAAAAATTGTATTTCATTATTTTGAAGAACCAAACCAAACTTGTTCAATGTCGCAAATCATTTTCTCCTCAGAGCTCTGAACATTTTTAAAATCATTATTCAAATTCACGATTTTTAATAACATGAAGAACGCGGGGCAACGTATGACGTCATATACCGCAATCAATCCCTTGTAATTCTATACGATACGACTTATGTACAGGGTTGGCAAATATCATAATATCGGATACCTATATATCCGATATACAGGGTGTTCGGAAAGGTCATGTCGTTAATAAATGATAGGGTCGATGAAGTGTCACAATAATGTTAGTACTTCTTGAAACAAAATATCCGTCACACTTTATTACAGAGTTATTGATCTTGAAAGTTTGAAAAATAAAATATTTTATGTGTAACTTTTAAACGGTTGCCATGGTATCAATGATATCCGGGCAACCCAATAAACTCATACTAATGCTCCTTTCGATATGTAAATGGCTGTTCAGTGATTATGTTTTATACAGGATGGGACGATTTTTTCCGTTCAATGGAGGAATTTTTGACAGAGGTGACAAATTTGACACTTTGCTGCCACCGTTTGATCCTTCATCTTTTTCATACAAAAATGGTATCCATTATTGCTTATTTCAATCGATATCTTGTACCGTTCTAGAGAAAACCGCATTATAAAAACATACATACATCCCAACGTTCCAGAGTTAATAAAAGCTCTATTTATTCAATTGAGCTCTTTTCTACCTTGAAAGACAGAGAGGAAAGTTCTCTCCTCTTCCATCTTTCTCTTCAATGCTACCAACGCGGCCGCATTGAAATATAGAGAGGTCCGATGAATCTTTCCTTGTCTAACATCTAGTTTGTGCCACTGAACTATTTTTGAATTCAAAAGGGTGTCAAATCAACGATATTAACAAAATAATGAGTCAAAATATGTATGATATCATTTGTAATTTCATTTAAAAATTTTTAAAGGTTATCAGTCAATGACATTTATGACATAGACATATCACATCATTATAATCTGAACTAACTGAGATATCTCACTAGAACTGAACCTGAATCAGTTATTATGTGTTCTTTCCAAAGAATTTGATTAGTTAGTTAAAATACATTTTAACTGATTCAGTTCAGTATAAGTGAAATATGTCAGTTAGTTCAGAAGGGAAGAATATCATTATAACATCGAAATTAGTTCAGTGGCGCAGACTAGAGGTTACACAAGGAAAACTTTTTCGGACCTCTCTATATTTCAATGCGGCTAAGTTGGTAGCATTGAAGAGAAATATGGAAGAGGAGAGAACTTTCCTCTCTCTCGTTCAAGGTAGAAAAGAGCTCAATTACATCATAGTAGTTGCAGTCATTGTCAAAATTGACTTCAAATTATTTTGACAGTATTCACTACTTTGGTATCGCCATGGATGAGTTTAGTAATGATGCGCATACCTTATGTATGAACTTGCACAAACTTTCAATGTCAATAACTCGGTAACGAAGTGCGATAGACATTTTTTTAATATGAATTACTAACATTATTCTGTCTCACTCTATCAGCCATATCATTTACGACATGACCTTTCCGGACTCCCTTCATATGCGATATATCAGAAATTTTGATTTTGCTCTTAGGCTAGAATGCAAAAAGACTATATATAAAATACCTTTATTATTAAAATAACAAAAACGAGACAAACAATTTTTTTCCTATAATATGTAATATAAAAAACTTGTCGTTTGATGCATTTTTAAGGATTGCAAAATCGGGAAAGAGGCATATTCATAATCATCATCATCTTCAGGTAAAATAAATAGATTCATTCTTAATTCGGCGTCGCCCAGGTGGGGTCTCAGATAGCCAAACAACTTTTGAATCACTGGCATTTCAATTTGAATGCACGCACGTTTCTTTGGTTGCCTATAGCTTCCCAAAACACTTCATTCTGTGATATTCTAGTGCGAATTCAGTCTTTAATTAGCTACCAAGATAGTAACAGTCTGAGAAGCCCCACCTTTGTAACAAATATATGCCTTTTATTCCAAGAGATACATGTGAATTCCCATAAGAAAATGGATAATTTTTCATTTTTTCAATATACTACATGCTACTTTTCTAGTTATGATGACTTGAACATTTCAATAATAGTGTTGAATATTTCTTAAACCGTTCTGAAAGATATCATGTTTTTTCCCGTGAAATTTCGGCATTTATATGTTATTGAAGATATCTCATGAATTAAACTTATTATGAATAGTTTCTGTTTATAATTATGAAGTCAATACATCTAAAAACTCATTTCACATAGAAATCTGGAAAAATTGCTTGTGCTTATAATTATGGGGTACATCAGACCCCATCTGGGTGATAATGTACAGATTTTCCACCTGGGTGACGATGGGTTAAGAACAAGAAACACATTATGCCTGACGTACCTTTGTAACTGACAAAAACAATAAAAACAAAACAAGCAATAAACAAAACCGGGGATGGATTCCCCGAATTGTTAGCTATAACCATGAAACCCACCATTGTCAGGTATCAATTTTTATGCAAAATATCGAAGATTTTTTGCTCCGGTATTTATTTCGTTTAAAAGGAGTAGATGATACATATCATGATATAATATATCAATCAATAAATATCATATATGGTATATATATCACTTGATATAATGACCAACCCTGCTTATGTATTGAGTATATTTCAGTTTTCAGTACACTCCTACTTGGAAGTAAATTCTTATTTCTATGTGAATGTGGAAATATTTTCATTAGTTTTTGAGAAATAAAACTTACTTTACTGGTATGACGGTATGTCACGTCATCAACAGTTACCGTTTTTGAGAGGCAATTATTTTGATTATTGAAAAAAAAATATTTTAAACGATGAATCACCTACTGTATTAAATACTTTTATCACATGGAATGATCAAAATAAAATAGATACAACCCCATTGTATAAATAATATGTCAATATATCGTTATCAGTTTGATAGATAAAAGGTAACTGGAAAATACATGTGTATGAATTCTCCTGGTACACCGGAAATAATATCAGCCATTGACAATAGAGGGTGATTTTTTTTCAAAAATGGTTCTTTATCTGTTACTTCTTCATTATACACTTCATAAACCAAATAATTTCGATGACGGAATTTAATTCCTTGAAAGTTTTAGGCTTGTGACCTTCAGACTTTTATCTTGCATATCCTGGACTGACTGAAAGTAATGCCACACATTTTCAACCCTTCCAAAACTGATTGCAACCTCTGTTGATAACACATTAAAATCCTAAGTTCAGGTGTGTTGATTTCAAAAGTATGTCATATTTTCGATACACTCAAACAAGTAAGAAAATATTGTATTGAATGAGTGGACTGATAATGAATTATTAGCATTCAATTACTCCACTGTGTCGTTAGGAACCTTAATTAATTTTTGCAACACTTCTCACACTATTTTTATGTAAATAATGAGTCTATGCATTGTTCGAAATTGTTGAATTTCAGAGCTCATTTGGCGATACGACGAATAAATGGTGACGTCAGTTTTTATGCTGTTTTGTTATTGGTCAGATAATCTTCCATTGCCACTCATGAAACAAGGTTGTCAAGTCGCCAATTATAAACAAGTTATCAAAAAGATAATGTTAGAGTCCTCTGTCGTTGAATAAAACATAATAGGATGAACCCATGATATTATAGTTCATTCTTGACTTTTTCGAGCAACCAGCATGTCCAAATATTTCTTATTCCCCATATCAAAATATGATATAAATATTGGAGACTCGGCAACAATGTGCTGAATGCTGAGAACTGACAAGACCACGCCCACAAGTCGTGCGCCGTGTTGTCACGTTCACCGATTCAAATGCCCTCTAGTGTGAATTAATATAATTATTATTTACACAAATTCATTATAAGCAATAAGCCACAAATCATAAGGGAACATTTTGAGACAATTGAATTTGTATTGCTAATTAGGAATATTACCAATACTCAATTGAGAATTTATGAATTATTTAATAACTAATGTTTCTGAAGTTCCCAATCGTATTTCAACACATGGCAACTGTGCTATGGTCTGCCCCTACTTAACAAATCGTGACGTCGGTTTTTGCTGGCGGTAAATTGCTAGCCGTTCGAAAATACCGTGGCATTATTGACTTTAGCAATTGAAAATCGACCGAAAAATTCTAGGAAATTATGAAATTGAAAGGTATTTGAGTGATGATTCTATTTAAGAAAAAAAAATTAGTCCACTCGCCTAAAAAGATAGCAAAAGATAACTCACCTGGTGTGTGAATTTTATCTTCACAAATGGTTTTTTCAATAGCCCTCTGAATCAAATTGGCATGTTGGAAGTGTCCCAAATGCTTGAGCATTTCAATACTAGCACTCAACATTGCAATGGGGTTTGCAATATTCTTTCCAGATATAGCTGTGCCTGTATTACGGGTACCTGGTTCAAACACAGCATACTGAAATGACATAATGGTATCATTGATGCCCAACCAGACAGAATCAATTTATTACTCACGTGATCACCATAATTTCTACCAGAGAGTAGTCCTGCACCTCCTATCAATCCACAAACGACATTTGAAACGATACTGCCATATAGATTTGTCATTATCATAACGTCAAATTGATGTGGTTTTGAGACAAGTTGCATGCAGCAGTTGTCAATAATCATATCATTGTGTTCAATTTCTGGGTATTCTGCTGCTATCTTTTTGGATGTATCAAGGAATAGGCCATCAGAAAGTTTCCTAACGAAAAAGAAGATTTATCTCAATAATGATAGCTTGGTAGGTGTTCAAGCATCATGGCATTCAAATTATTGAATATACAGGGTGGGGCAATTGTGCGTCAGAGTCCGATTGCTCGAGTCCTATGATAGCTAGAAAGATGAATCAAAAACGTGAACTAGACAACACGGCCTATGACAAGAAATTATCGACATATGTACCGGGCGCAGCAACAAACAACATAACAAACACCTAGAAAACCGAGGGCCATATCTTCGAATGGAATGCCATGTGAATAAGCACATTTTTTCAAGCATTCCAGTGCGACCTCCAACCAACCCTTGTATATTATTGACTTTGTCTCAATCACTTGAAAGTTATGACTTTTTTGTCCAAATAATGTCATTTGCAGAAAAATACTAAAAAATCTCTGCCGACTTATATTTATTGAAATTGAAAGGAAATATTATTGGAGTCATTTAATAGATAGACGTTGTTTCGTCGATAATTCTTAAGTGGTTTGATTAATGGACTGTATAAAATTGACTATAACTCCGAAATAAAGCGAGTGCACTAAACGGACTCACCTCCAGTGGACGCCATAGACTGGTGTTCTTGACTGCCGGTGAAAGGGCCCTTTCTGATGATCTTCGTAATCGATTATGAGGTCTAGCACCTCACCAATCCTCCATAACACAGGAAAATAGCACAGAAGAAAAGGTCCGCGATTAATTCCGACACTTTTGTATATAGAAAAATCTCGTGTTCGCGCCAGTAAAGAGTTATTGCGGTAGTACCTAGCGTACTCGTATTTCTGCTCTGTACTCGGGTACTTCGGTTCGGAAAAATCCTCCGATTGGCCACATTACTGAGGCGTGCGCCGTTTAGTGTCTTTGATCGCGGATCATACGTTCAAAATATATAAAAGAAATATCAAAACAAAATTATAATAACCACTTAAGTGTGTTAACGCAACATTACTGCCCACCAAAAATGCAACACTGCATTTTTCTCAAATATAAATGAAAAAAAAAAGAACTAGGTATACTATAAAAAAAAAGAGAATAAAGAGAAATACTCTGTGCGAAAATAATTAGGCATTGTAGCTTTAAGTTCTCAAGCTTGCGACAAATACTGCGGACGATAACAAACATAAAGAAAAATACAGTGATAACAGAGAATACTTCTATCTGTTATGCAGAGGGAAGAGGGCAGAGTTTAACAAGCGGGCGCTTTAAAACATTCGCAGTCGTTTTAACAGTTGCCACGCGAGCAATTCCGTCATCCCCGGGAAATAATGAAACAATGCGACCGAGAGACCATCGACTAGGAGGAAGATTTTCATCTTTGAGTGCGACTAGTTGTCCGATTTCGGGTGCCTTTCCTGATTCCAACCATTTCCCACGTTGTTGGAGGGTGTGCAGGTATTCGCGGTGCCACCGCTTCCAAAAATCCTGCTGGACCCGCTGTAACATTTGCCAACGGGAGAGGCGATTGATCGGATAGGAGGAAAAGTCGGGAACGTTCAAAGCTGATATCGGCTCTAGGGTAAGAAAGTGTCCTGGAGTCAACGCGTTCATGTCCTCCAGGTCAGCACTGAGAGGTGTAAGAGGTCTAGAATTTAGTAGAGATTCTATCAGTGTTAGAACTGTATAGAATTCTTCGTAAGTAAGTATTTGATCTCCAATTACTTTCAGTAAATGGACTTTGACAGACTTTACTCCCGATTCACATAGCCCATTGAAGTGTGGCCCTCCAGGAGGAGAGAATTTGAACTCGATATGTTCCTTGGCAGCAGCATTTTTCATTAAATTCAATTGTTTGCCTGCACTTACAAAATTGGTAGCATTATCGCAATAAATAGTAGAAACACGACCTCGTCGTGCGATGAACCGTTGCAACGCAGATAAAAAAGTTTCTGCAGACAAATCACTGGCCAGCTCCAAATGAACGGCTTTTGTAGCGAAGCATACAAAAATACAAAGATATGCTTTAGTCGACTTCACACCTCGATGACGACTTAAGGTAATGAAAAAAGGTCCACCAAAATCGACCCCAGTTCGCGCAAAGGGTTTCACTTGAGTCACTCGGGAAGAGGGTAAATTACCCATAGGGGGTTGAAAACTCTTTGGGCGAGTTCTCCAACAGCGTACACATTTCGATAGGACTGAGTTGATTGCTCGTTTGAAAGATAAAATCCAGAATTGCTGCGAAATCAGATATTGGGTGGTGCGAAATCCCACATGAAAGTATTTCACATGAAAGTGCTGAATTATTAAGGTAGTAAGACGGCTTTGACAAGGTAATAATATGGGATATTTGACGTCATGTCTTACTGAGGCATGCTTAAGACGGCCTCCCACACGTAATACTCCTTGAGAATCAACGAATGCATGAAGTTTGCGGAGCGGTTTCGGAAAATGTACTTTGTCAAGCTCCTCTTGAAAATGGAGGGATTGTGTGAATTTTACGAGAACAAGCAATGCTTCCTGTAACTCTGAAAGTGATAGAGGGCCAAGTCGGCGATCGGCAGAGCGGGAATTAAAAGTAAAGCGTAAAATATACGCTACTATGCGTTGAAGTTTAGCGAAACTAGACGTATCATTGATTAAATTGTTCATAACGGAGTCATCATGAGCTGTGGCAAGAAGGCAAATTTTTTTGTCTTCCTCCGGACATGCAACATCTGACAAATTAATTGCGAAAGGGGGAGGCCATTTTTTATCAGATTCATACAAAAATGACGGACCAGTAAACCAGAGGGGGTGTGAGAGGAAAGCAGACGGGAAAATACCTCTGGAGGCTACGTCAGCAGGATTGTTAGCCGATTCAATATAATGCCAAGAATTTGACGGAATTTTATCCTGAATATATGACACCCGATTAGCTACAAATGTTTTGCGATTTTGAGGTGCCCCTTTAATCCAATATAGGGTAATTTGCGAATCGGACCAGGCATATATTTTGCGAAATTGAATATTATCTCCAAAAACTGTTATAGTATAATTAATTAATTTTGTCAAAAGAACAGCGGCACACAGCTCCAAGCGCGGGATAGTCAATTTATGGAGCGGAGCGACTTTAGACTTAGCACAGAGAAAATGATTGGAAACTGAATCATCAGAACTTACAGTTCGTAAATAAATCACGCAGGCGTAACCTCGCTCGCTAGCGTCGCAAAATCCATGGAGATCGCAAATTAAAAAATTAGGAGGACGTATACACCTTGGAATTCGTAATTTAGACATAAGTTTTAACTCCAGTTTATATTGATTCCACGCCCGAACTATTTCAGAACTCGGGGACTCGTCCCATCCGATACCTAATGACCATATGCGTTGAATCAAATATTTAGTATAGAAAGTTACAGGACATAAAAATCCCAGGGGGTCGTAAACTCTGGCGAGCTCAGATAAAAGGGTACGTTTGGTACAAGTCCTGTCATCGGAAGGGGACATGGCGAAGAAAAAACAATCCTGGATGGGATTCCATTGAAGGCCAAGCACTTTCAAGGACGAACTCAAAAAATCAGAATTGAAAGTTAAAGGGTCTTTGGACAAATGTGAAGGAGGTAAATGAGAAAGCAAAGAATTTTCATTAGAACACCATTTCCGCAATTCAAATCCGCCCAATTTCATGAGAGAGGTTAATTCACTCACAAGATTTCGAGCTTCTTCATAGGTTGGCAAAGACATAACAAAGTCATCTATGTATGAAAAATTACGAATAGCATGGGCCGCCATTGGAAATTGAGCACCTTCATCGTCTGCCAGTTGACGGAGGGTGCGGAGTGCAAGAAACGGGGCGCAGTTGACTCCGTACGTTACTGTGGTTAAGCGAAAGTCTTGAATTTGATCATGAGGAGAGAAACGCCACAGTATGCGTTGATAATCGCATTGATCGGAGGTAACGCCGATCATGCGATACATTTGCTTTATGTCAGTACATAAGGCAAAGGGATGCAAACGGAAGTTAATTAAAATTTTTACCAGATCTTGCTGTAACTTCGGACCAATCATCAGATAGTCATTCAACGATTTTTGACTGGGCAATTTAGCAGAGGCATTGAAGACCACACGCAGTTTTGTAGTGGAACTATCTGGTTTTAAGACACAGTGATGAATGAGATAATAAGATTCATCCGGAGGGTCTGTATTTTCAACTGGTTCCATGTGTTTCAAATTGAGATATTCACGCATGAAATCCGAATATTGCGTGTAAAGGACATGATTTTTCAATAAGCGGCGTTCCAATGACAAAAATCGGTGATAAGCAAAACTACGAAATCCTGGAAATACGGGACGAACATCTTTGAAGGGCAGCGAAACAATATAGCGACCTGATTCTTCCCGCTGAAAAGTATTGAGGAACATGTTTTCACACACCTCATCTTCCGGGGTGAATACCGGGAAAAAAGGCACACTCTCAACCTCCCAGAACTTTGTCATAATTGTATCTAAGTTGGTTTCCGTTGCGGCACAAAAAAATGAAGAAATCGCAGGAGCGGTATTCAGTTTGATTTTACCCATCAAAACATAACCAAATATTGTGTTGATAGCAACAGGTTCGTCAGCGGAACCAGAAACACGACCATTCACAATAATTTTAGAGAAAATGTCAGCGCCTAATAGAACATCAATAGTTCCTGGCCTATTGAAATGAGGGTCAGCAAGTTGTAAATTAAGAATATGTGACCATTCCTCACACGAAACAGGAGAAACAGGCATGTCGTCACATATTTGACTTAGTATAATTGCATCGGTATGCATCAAGGGATCATTTTTTCCTATTGGTTTCAAACTGAGGGTAACGAACCCCTTATCACACGCAGATTGCATGGTCCCAAGACCTTTCAATTCAATTGAACCTTCTGAATGTGGTAATCCAAGTTTATGAACCGCTTTCTGACTAATGAACGATGTCATACTACCAGAATCTAACAAACATCGTAGAGGTTGACAGTTGCCACGATTGTCAATAAAATCCACCCACGCGGTAGAGAGAAGTACACCGTGATTCTT